ATACTTTTAGGAACAGAAATAGACTATGTTGAAGACAAATTATCCAGTAAATTTGTGTTCAGTAACCCAAACATCAAAGGAACGTGCGGCTGTGGACAAAGCTTTCATGTTTGATTCCCTGACTACTCTACCTATAGGGCCCAGGTGGAAGCCATGGGACTTACTGAAGAAATCTTGTGACTGTCACATGCTTAAGGTTTATAAAATATGGCTGCTTTATGAGGAAAATAAAGTGGTGCATTTTGAAAAAAATACATAAGCATTTACCAAGCAAGTACATGTTCAGAAATGCATTTGCTATCTCCACAAATTATTAATTACAAAAGGAAGAATAGTCATTTCACAGTGGAGAGATCTCACAGTCACCATCTTAACCAGGAGATCAAAATAACATAACTATCAGATGCTTCTGGGTATGAGGCATTGAGGAGGACACCACATTGCTCATATAATATTCTTGCCAAAAACATGTAGTCTGTATAGCCCATATTGTAGGGAAATGTAAAATAAAATAAAAATATATTTTACAAAATAACCATTGTTATTTTGCAATGTGATAGTGTCAAGAAAGACCTAAAAAGCGGAGAGGAGGGCCTCCCCGGTGGCGCAGCGGTTGAGTGCTGGGTTGCGAGGCTGCCCGCAGCCTCTGCGGCGCCGGTTCGATCCCCACTGCTCCCCGACCACCGGAGGAGGGTCCCACATGGCGCGCAGACCTCTCCTGCCGCCCGCTGCTCCCCTCAGCAGTGTCCTTCGGTCCTTCTGCCTGCTCTGCTCCCCGCTCTGGCTCTGGTGAATCCTCTCACCCTCCCGTGCTTCTGACTGTACCCAGTGCATGTATAAATAAATAAATAAATATTTAAAAAAAAAAAAAAAAGCGGAGAGGAGGAAGAGTAACTTCAGATCTAAATAAATAAGACAATGCAGTGCATAATTTTGCATTGGATTGTGGAAATTGAAACAATGCTATAAAAGACATTATTAAGATAACTGTAAAAACTGGAATATGAAGTAGTGTGGTATTACTGTTAGATAAAAAAAAAGTCCTTATTCTTAAAAAATCACTGTAAAATACTAAGGAGTAAAGGAACATGGTATGCATCTTGGAAACATTTCAGAAAAAAACCTTAAAGAGAGAAATACAGAGAATGTATAACAAATGTATTAACAAATTTTTGTTAATACAATAATTTTTTAAAGAATTATTTATGCATACAAGAGCTGGGGTACAGGCGACAGATGCAGGGGGTGAGAGGATTCACCAGAGACAGAATGGGAAACAGAACAGGCACATTGACCGAAGTACACTGATGAGGGGAGCAGCGGGCGAGTCAGGAGAGGTCTGCTGTGTCATGTGGGTTGCTCCCTGGCGGGCCAGGGATCGAACTTGTGCTGGCAGAGGCTGCAGATTGCTTGATAGTGCAGTACTTAACCTCTTGCGCCACCAGGGAGGCCCAATACAATAATTGTCAATGTAGATAAAGTATATATATGTTTGGAATTACTTCAAAATAAAATTTTGAAAAAGAAAAATGAATTTTGTCTTTCTGAACACCTTAAAGTACGCTATTACCAATAATTTCAAACTACAGAGTACATCTTAAGAAACGTAGAGAAATTCTATGCTTAATTTTAAGAAATTGAACATTCTGAAATGAGTCACTTCCTGCCTCACCCATCCATGTCCACATCCTCCAACTACCAAATGAGGTTCTCTCGTATCACTGGATGCTGCATGTTCATTGGCTAAAGTGACTATTTGCATGGAGGTGAGCCTTAGGAGCACACTGTGACACACTGTGACAACAGCCAAGGATTTGGCTGAGAATGTGGGCACAGATCAGACACCAGAGTGGTGATGTAACTTAGGAAACAGTAGTGTTGGCATGACAACAATATTGTTAAATAACTGTTGAAGTTTTAGGTATATAAACTAGAGATGTAATATGTGTTCATTGATGAAGTCTTAGCAACTATATGTAAAAAAATGGAAGAAAACAGAAATCATCCACAATTCTCCAACCAAAATAACTGGTGTCAGCATTCTGGAGATGACATAGATCTGGAAGATGCCACACAGAGGTCATTGAGTTGCTGACACTGTAGGTTGTGGGGCCCCAGCTCCACAATCTTCAGTTGTGAGGACTTGGGCAGGCTTTTTAGCCACTTTATATTTTGGTTTCTCCATCTATGAAATGGAGAAATCACTGCTTTCCTCAAAGGGTTGATATGAAGAGTGAGTTAATATTTATAAAGCACCTAGAACAGTGCTGGCATATGGTGAAACACTATGTATGTTACATGAACATTTTTTCTTGTTTTTTTTTTAAGATTTATTTATTTATGTATACAAGCACTGGGTACAGTCAGAAGCACTGGAGGGTGAGAGAATTCACCAGAGCCAGAGCAGGGAACAGAACAGGTAGACTGACGAAATACACTGCTGAGGGGAGCAGCAGGTGGCAGGAGAGGTCTGCGGGCCATGTGGGACCCTCACCCGGCAGCCAGGGATAGAACCCGCACTGCAGAGGCTGTGGGCAGCTTCGCAGCCCAGCGCTGAACCGCTGCGCCACCGGGGAGGCCCACATTTTTTCTTGTTTTTAAACTGAAGTGTTATATAAACTAATCTATAGGGAAAAAAATCAGATCAATGATTGTTCCTGAGGATAGACTGATTAAGAAGGGCATGAGGAAACTTCTTGGGGGACTGATGACATTCCTGAGTAGAGGTTTGAGTTTACACAGATATATAGCCTTTATCAAAACTTGGAAATTTTACACTTAAGTTTCGTATATTCCATTATATATAAATTTTATTCCAAGAGTAATTGAAATATTGTTAATTATGTTCATGCTCAAGTATTTAGGGGAAAGTGGTGTCTGCAATTTATTTTTTTAAAAAAAAAGATTTATTTTTTATTTATTTATGCATATAAGAACCGAGGTGTGGGCCAGAGGTACAGGATGGAGGGGTAAGAGGATTCACCAGAGACAGAGTGGGGAGCAGAACAGATGAATTGACTGAAATACACTGCTGAGGGGAGCAGCGAGAGAGACAGGAGAGGTCTGCTGTGCCATGTGGGTTAGCTTACTGGCCGGAGATCGTGCACTCATGCCACAGTGGTGGGAGGTAATTTGATGGTGCTGAGTCTTTATCCCATGTGCCACCAGGGAGGCCCTGTGACTTACTTTGAAATGCATCAAAAAATAAAATGGATTAATGAAATGTTAGAGGAATGGACAGATGGCTGGATATGTGATAAAGCAAAGTTAGTAAAATGTTAGTTAGAATTGAGATAATGTTCACTATAAAATCCTTCCAATTTTCTTGTGATTAAACTTTTTCTTGATAAAATATAAAATGTGGGAAAAATAATATATAATACCGTAATACCATTTAACTTGCTATTTTTACTCTATTTTATGGTCATCTTATGTTATTAGTTTTTCTCTATACGTGTACTAATTATAAGCATTATAAACAAAAGTAAGCAAACCATTATTACATATTACAATGGATTCTGAATTTGTTACAAAGCAACTATGGTCGGGGCCTCCCTGGTGGCGCAAGGGGTTCAGTACCGCACTATGAAGCAATTCGAAGCCTCTGCAGCACAAGTTCTATCCCCAACTAGCCAGGGAGCAACCCAAATGTCGCAGCAGACCTCTCCTGTCTCACCTGCAGCTCCCCTCAGCAGTGTATTTCAGTCAGTCTGCCTGTTCTGTTCCCAACTCTGTCTCTGGTGAATCCTCTCACCCCCTACATCTCTGGCCTGTACCCCAACTCTTATATGCATAAATAAATCTTAAAAAAAAAATAACAACTATGGTCATGTGTTCCTCCACAATGCCAAAGTTGTCATGAATGACCTTGGCTGGGGGGCCAAGCAGCTGGTAGTGCAGGAGCATTGCTGACAATCTTGAGGAGGTCGTTGTACTTCTCAGGCTCCTGTACCACCACCCTGAAGTAGGGAAGCATAGATTTTTTTTTAAAATTTTTTATTTTTGTAGAGGCATGTTTTATTTGCTTGTTTGTTTTTTTGTTTATACAAGCACTGGGTAGTCAGAAGCGCAGGAGGGTGAGAGAATTCACCAAAGCCAGAGCGGGGAGCAGAGCAGGCAGAAGGACCGAAGTACACTGCTGAGGGGAGCAGCGGGCGACAGGAGAGGTCTGCGCGCCATGTGGGACCCTCCTCCGGTGGCCGGGGAGCAGCCGGGGATCAAACTGGGGCCGTAGAGGCTGCGGGCAGCTTCGCAACCCAGCGCTCAACCGCTGCACCACCAGGTAGGCCCGGAAGCATAGATTTTTTATGAGAGGTGCACGTGCTAGGTCTGGGAAAGGAATGTTAATTATTCAGGGAAATGAGCAAATCGGTAAGAGGCTTCAGGAATTCTCTTGGCATGGGGAGGGCATTTATCTCAGCTACTGTGGAGTCATTCTGTCCAGCTGGTTTCTGTAAAGCAAGCTCCTTTTCACTGCCTTGGGATCAGGAGACAGAAGTTAAAGACCTTAATGTAGCTTGCTGAAGTAAATACAATGCCTTAGTATTTTCTTTTTTTTTTTAATTTTCTAGAGGCATGTCTTATTTATTTATTTATTATTTGTTTGTTTGTTTGGTTTATACATGCACTGGGTACAGTCAGAAGCGCGGGAGGGTGAGAGAATTCACCAGAGCCAGAGCGGGAAGCAGAGCAGGCAGAAGGACCGAAGTACACTGCTGAGGGGAGCAGCGGGCGGCAGGAGAGGTCTGCGCACCATGTGGGACCCTCCTCTGGTGGCTGGGGAGCAGCCGGGGATCCAACTGGCGCTGCAGAGGCCGCGCGTGCTGCGCCACCGGGGAGGCCCAGGAGGCCCTAAGTTATTGAGGTGGGCTTGAGAGACACTTGTCAGATCTGGACTTGTAGGATATGGGAGACATGGGGAGGCTGACAATGGCAGCCATTATCTAATTTGTACTTTGATTTTGTACTTTTTGTCCCAGACTTAAGTGGCCCCTTGCTTCCCCTCCCTGTGGTTCCCTACCTTGAACTTGTGGCAGCTTTTGGGCCTCTGCAGCCACACTCTGGGTCAACCCTGTTTGGTTGGACATTTACCTACAAGGATATGGGTAACTTTCTTCTCTCCTATGCACACTAATCCTATGAAAGTTCATTTACACTAAGAGTATGTTTTGTCTTTGTGTGCATGAGACCTGGATTCCATACCAAGCAGCCACCTGGGGCTGGGGAAGATGAACAGGCAGTGATTCGGAGCTGCTGAGATGAAAGAGTGCAAAGAGGAAGCAGAGAGAGCATGATACAGTACAGAACGATCTGTTTTTTCCCAAGACCTCACATATTTATTACTGAGTCAATCTACAAGGTGCAGAAGCATACAGACATAGAGAAAAATACTTTCCAAACATGTCCAAACAGCAACGTGGTGATGCTAGTGATCTTGATGCAGCATGAACACGTGTCATCTCACATGTAACTCTCCTTACAGACCCAGCTTGGTTCTCCGCCAGTGTCTCCTCTTGGAGTTGTATCTGATTTTGTTACCAGTTTTCATTCGAATCCACTGCGGAATGGGACGGTTCTGCTTTTGTTTCTTTGCCAGGAACCGCTTGATCCTGAAAGTCTTGTGAGATGACATGGTGAGAAGAGTCAAGTGCACACAACCTGATGGCAAAGAAAAGGAGAGACTGTTTTTTTGTTTTAAAACTCGACTGAGACAGAAACTGGAGAGAACGAACAAGGGGGTCAGGGGGCGGGGGAGGGAGCCTAACAGAAGACTTGGCCTGTCATGAGAATATGTGCTCCACCTGTGACAGAAGCCAGTCCTTGAAACTCTCCAAGCTAACAGCAGCCTGGCTAGGAATGGATCCACCTCAGAACCAGTGTGAGTCATGCTTGACATGACTACCTTGCAAGGAGTCTACACTTTTATGTCATCGTGCCATTATTTAATTTTAAAATATACAGCAAAGCGTTCTCAGTTCCTGCAAATCAGTTGTTAGGTGGGGGTCCACACATAGTCTACAATGCGGTCACAGTTCACATCATTCTGGCATAGCCAGCTGACCTGCAGCCTGTAGCGCTTTTTTTTTTTTTGGTGGGACCCTCGCCAGAGGCCAGGGAACGAACCGGCACTGCAGAGGCTGCTGCTGCACCACCAGGGGAGGCCCAGCCTGTAGCTTTTAATCACTAATATCAAACAGCCTTTTGGTGAAAACAAAAGGATCATCTCCTAAGGTGATGACCTAGAAGGCAACAAAGTCTACTTAGAAACAGACACCAGACTAATAAATTAGAAAATCAATTTTGTCGCAACACAGTCAACTATTTCATATACCTGCCTATCACATGTATGTTGCTTACTGGTGCACCCCTGAAACCAACAGCATAGTGACTGCCATGATGACTTTTTACTAAATGAACAAGTGAATGAATTAATAAAGCAGTTCAAAGGTGCGGCTTGCTGGGTGAGCTCATGTTCAGGCACATAGAAAACTACCATTTATTGACTCCTTTCTCCATGTAGGACATTATGCTTTGCCTTGTGGGTTGCTCCCTGGCCGGCCAGGGATCGAACTCGTGCTGCAGAGGCTGCGGATTGCTTCATAGTGTGGTGCTTAATCCCTTGGGCCAGCAGGGAGGCCACTTGTAGGACATTATGTTTACTGAAGTCTTTTGATTTAGCCTCACTCTAACCTTAAGGCATATATTCTATCCTAGGTCAGGAGGCATTTCACCACCCAATATGCAGATTACCAAGGATGGATGACCCATGACCCAGAACATTTCTTAGTACATGAGTTCAGACAAACAGAGGGGTTCTGGGACTAACCAAAGACAACATCAAATCTTTTTGTTGCATAGTCATTTCTAATGCTCCATAACCCCTGCCCATAGTGCCTCTACAGGCACACCTAGCCTCATGCTCCACCTCCTGCAATAGCCTTCCAGCAGTGCTCCCCATGCCCAGTCCTTCCTAGACGTCCACCGTCCATCTTACCCAATACTGTGAGACTCAGCCTGAAGACTAGAGCTGTGAGGAAGCCCCTGTTCTGAGGGTTTGGAGTGAGATGGCCTGGTTTTAAGGTAAATAAGGCCAAACAAGTCAATTGTCTTCTTTGGATCTCCATTTCTTCATTGGTAAAATAGGGAAAATAAATTTATTTCATAGGGCTTCATGGAGATTAGGCAACACATGGTTCAGTGACACTCTGCAAAAGTTTGTCATGTATGAAAGTTTTTGCTAAATCTAAATGTTGGTTCTTCTAATCAAACACCTACTACTAAACTGCAACGAAGAAAGGAAAAACCCCAACATGAGAAACCTGGTAGGGTTTCCTATTGTCTTCTGGATAAAGTAAAAACTCTTTACAGTTGCTTTTAATAAAGAGATTACATAACTCTTTATTAAATATATATCTCTAATTATATCACCCTGCCTTATTCCTTACATTTGCTCCATATTCAGCTGCGTTGAACTCCTAACATTTCCAGAGACATGTTCCTGTCTTCCCACCTTCATGCTTTTCCTTTTTTTTGGTATCCCTGAGATCTCCCCTACCTCTACCTATACAGGAATCCTAGCCAGTTTTTACATCACAAGGCAATGCTTCACTCTCCTAACCCACAAGTGGTTTCTCTGATCTTCTACAACACCCCATTGCGACTACATTTTATTCATTTATTTATGAAAAGATTTATTTATTTATACATACAAGAACTGGGGTACAGGCCAGGACTTCCTGGCAGTTATATCTAGTTGGCTCTGTTTTTCTGATATACTTCCAACATTTGCTTTCAGGCAGATTGACATAGCAGCTAAGAGCTCTCAGCCCTGGTTCAGATCTTAGTACTTCCACTTAGTGGTAGGTGATCTAGAGTGATCCTTTTAACTTCTCTGTATTTCATTTTCTCATTTGGATTCTCCAGGTCTGAGAATACTACTTAGCTCATGGGATGGCTCATCTCTTCACCTGTATTCTCCAGAATGAGAATACTACATGGTTCATAAGATGGCTCTATGAGGACCCAACATGTGCTTGTCAAGTGCTTACAAAAGTGACCGGGCATGTGTTGGCTCTATTTTATTAAGCGTCACTTGTATGAGGGAGTTTAACTCTCCTACTGGTTATTTCCCAGGTTATCTTACATGGATAGCATACATGCATCTTGTCCCAAGCCCTTTCTTATCCAATTCGAATCCAGTTTCGTGGTTCCTTCTTCTTGGTATCTGGCCTGCCATTAAGAAGCAGGTGTCTACCTGGAGCTGGGGCCCTATGACTCCGGGGCTTCTGGGATTGGTGTTTGGTTAAGACCCTCCTTCCCTGTTCCAGGGCACAAGCTTGCAAAGCCAGCAGTAAATGTCTTTCTTCCACTATAACTTGGATCTGGTCACGTCTGAACCATAAGCTGGGGATCTGAGAAGAGGGTGAGTAGTTAGGGAAAGGAGAAAGAACTGGAAGAGGAAAAATCAAGCCCATAAATATAAGAGGTTATGTTTGAATTCTCAATTCTATTCTATTGATTCATGTTTATATCTTTTAATCTTTTTTTTATTAAGCTTTTTTTTTGCATAGTACTGGGGTGTAGGCCAGAGGTGGGGGGGTGTGGAGAGAAGATTTACCAGACAGAGTGGGGAGCAGAACAGGCGCTGCACTTTCTTATAGGCCTGTACACTACTAAGGGGAGCAGCAGGCGAGACAGGAGAGGTCTGCTGCGCCATGGGAGTTAGCTCCCTGGCCAGGGATTGAACTCAGGCTGTAGAGGTGTTAGCACTGAAACTTAACCCCTAAGCCAACAGGGAGGCCCTATTTCTTTTAATGTTATAATATACTAGCTCAAGCCTCACACTACATGTTATGAAGATAAGAACATCTCCCTACCGCCAGGAGTGTGAGAATTCTCAGGGACACATCTCCCCCATTACCTCTTGTACAAATGCCTTACTTTCACTAAATTCTTTCTTAGTTCTGGGTCTTATCTTCTACTACCTACCCCATTCCCTCCCAACTTCCCCTGGTCACCATCTCCATTCCTTCATCTTCTTGAGAATCAAAAACACCAACAGTGTGTAAATGATTTGAATAAATGAGTGGAGAACCCTGCAAAGTTCACATGGGCAGCAACTTAAAAAAAAAAAACAAAAAAAACAATTTAAACATCATTACCTAAAAGCATGAGCCGGGACCTCCCTGGTGGCAGAAGGGGTTAAGCGTCAACACTATGGCCTGTACCCCAGCTCTTGTATGCATAAATAAGTCTTTAAAAAAAAATAAAAGTATGAGCCACTCTCTGTGAAGGGAAATTTTTCTTTGCTTATGGCTCTTTTCGGTCCTGGCTGATTGTCATCTCCTGGGGTTTCCTGGATACCTTTCTCTTCCCCTCCCTACATACCAACCCCTAATTTTCACTCCTCTTTCCTTCTGTACTTTAAAGATTCCCTCCTGAATTGCCAGTCATCATGAGACCCCCCCGGCCTCACTCTTTTCAACAAGAAGGTCGATAAAGTCTCCCCCAGCAAAACAACTCCCATCTCTGGGTAAAAACTGTCCCTTTCCTCGAGGGGGGACACACAGCTGCCGCTGTCATTTTGTTTCCTAAACTGCAACGTTTCCCTTCCTATACACACCATCAGTCTGACAATTCCCCCTGGGCCGCAGCCTTCTCAGGCCGGACGCTGTCTCTGTCTCTCATACAAATCCACAGACTAAACTCTGTCTGTGGGACGGGGCCGGGCACACACGCACAGACACACGGTGAAATAACTGACCTTACCAGCAGCAGCGCGCAGAAAGCGCCGGGAACGGCGGGTAAGCAAGCGGCCTTCTCGTTACGAGGTGAGGAATCTGCGGTCCCGAGGCCGGGGCTAGATGGGCAAGAGGGCGGGCCGCGAACCCCAAGTGAAAGCGGAGCACGACGGACCCTGGACCCGGGACCCACCAGGCGCCCGCCCGCCCAGGCCGCGAAGACCAGGCCGCAGGGACGCAATGCGCGCTCCCGGGAGACGCTACCCGCCCGACTTCCGGTCCGCGACCCGGAAGCGGAAGGGGCTCCTTACTTTCTGCTTCCTGCGCGTCGGCCCTGCGTCGTCTCCGCTGTACTCGGGAGCACCTCCGCGGCCCATCGCAGCGTGCGGGTCCGGCCGCAGAGCGCTGAGGGCCCGGAGCAGCCGCAGCCATGGCGGATGTGACCGCCCGTAGCCTGCAGTACGAGTACAAGGCGGTGCGTGTGGGCTGGGGAGAACTCCGGTCTGGGGAGCCTGGGGGTGGGCCGGAGGCTCAGGGGAGCCCCAGAATGAAGGCCTATAGAAGGCGGAAGGGGGCGGGAAATCATCGAGGAGAAGCTGGGGGTACCCGATCTGTGACTAACTCCAAGGGGGCCTGGGGCAGGCTGGATGGGCAAAGAGCTCGGATAGGAGGGTTTGTTCCCCGCCCCCCTTAGCGCTGTACCGGTGAGGGATTAGATCTTGACGCAGAGATAAGCACCCGGGCACTGGGAGACATAACGGGAGGGATAAGAACTGGGACCTTGGAACCCCCACCCCTGGGAGACATAACGAGAGAAAAGTCAACAAGAAGCACATGACGTTATCACCAGTTAATCTGTGCTCTACCACCCTCCAACCATCCCCGACCCTCCCCCATCCCCACCTTTTCCCAGGTGAGCTTTTGGGCATGTTAGGAGCTAGGATTGTTTAGCTGTTTTAATTGGCTATAGGAGTTAATTCTGCTCTTTGCTCATGTGTAGAAATCGCCCAATGCTGTTTCTTCTTAAGGAAAATATCTTTTTATTTGGACAAATGATGACTAGCACTTAGTTACTCTGATTCTTACTTCCTTTTTCACCATTACTTGGTTTCTGTGTTAGAGGACTTTGCCCTGTTTATGCCAGAGCTTCCATAATTTTGTAATCTCTTCAGAACTCGAATCTTGTCCTCCAAGCTGACCGCTCTCTCATTGACCGAACCCGCCGAGATGAACCCACTGGAGAGGTGTTATCCCTGGTTGGGAAACTGGAGGGCACCCGAATGGGAGATAAAGCTCAACGGACCAAACCACAGTTGCAGGAGGAAAGAAGAGCAAAGTAAGTAAAAGGGGAAAATGATGTATCTTCAGATTCAAAGTTCATTTTCCTCTTAGCATTTTAGCAGCATTTTTGATGAAATGTATGGGCAAGATAATACATCAGTGGCATAGGAAAATTTAGTGTGGTAAAAGCAATGAGAGTTAAAACGTTCTTTAGTCTTGACAAGAGTATTAGAAGTAGGAAACCACATTTAGACCATTTTCTAACATGTGTATCTGGTAGATTGGTAGCAAAATCTTAAATTTTTTTCATGGTTTTTTTTAGACTCTCGTTATGCCCTTGTTTCAGTAACTTTTTTTTCACCCTTCTGTTTCTAACTTTCCACTTCTTATGCTATTGCCCACTTCGTACTCATTTTGTTGTTACACTCAAGCATTTAGGCATCCATACTATGAAAGACAGAGATTTTTTTGGTTAGCTGGTTTTTTACTTTTGGGGAGATGTATTTTAGAACTTTAAAAAAAAATCATTGAACTTTATCTCACCATTATTTTTTAACCCATCTCTGTTCTTCCTTCCATGATGAAGTCTCAATTATTTATAGGCCCAGATATGATTAAAGTAGTTATATTTGAAATCAATTAATATATTATTGGACTACACATTGCAGCATAGGAACTTCTTCTCTAGTTTTTCTACAATTTGTTGGAAATCAATGACAGTGAATTCCTTTGGAGCTTCAAAGTGTCCAGGTGCCCCAAAGGAGCTTTCTGTGGCTTAAAAAGGAAAGTGTGTCTGAGAGGTGAAAAACTAGTCAATATCTGATTGTGCAATATTGTCATTCAAAGTAAAAAAGGTTGCTTTTTTTAAATGAATGAAGGGGACATCTCATAATGTTTTAATGCATCTAGTGAGAGGATCTGTTACTGTATCCCCATAAAGACTACTGCTAATGATGATGCCAGGTAGGAAATATTTGCTTAGGTTAATATATTCATGTTTTTACATATTACATGTGTGCCATGAAGCTGAGAAGGAGATGGATGGGCTTGATTTAGTCTTGCCTTCGGGAGGGAAGGCTCTGCTGTTCAACATTACATTCTGTCTATTAGGCGAAGAAAGCGTGATGAGGACCGGCATGATATCAACAAGATGAAGGGTTATACTCTCCTGTCAGAGGGCATTGATGAGATGGTGGGCATCATCTATAAGCCAAAAACTAAAGAGACCCGGGAGACCTATGAGGTGCTGCTCAGCTTCATCCAGGCTGCACTTGGGGACCAGGTGAGGCAGCCAGAGGGTGAGACTGTTTTTGGAGAGGATGGGGTCACACCTAGGAGGCACCAGAAAAACCTCATCCCTAAGTTTTCCTGTGTAGGCTGTACCACTTTGCAGAAGTGGCTGCTGTTTGCTGAACACTTACTTTATGTAGAATAGCATTTACATGTCTCTTTCAAGTCTCACAAGCACTAACTCTGTGAGTAGGTGCTACTAATACTTTTCATTTTACTGAAGAGAGATTTTAAGCACAGAATAGTTATTTTCCCAATTCATAGAAGTATTTACATGAGCCAGATATTAACAGGGTGGTCTTATGTCTAGAATCTGTGCCCTTGACCAGTATACATGTGTGATCTCTATGAGTCTCTGAGACTTTTTAGTGAAGTAGGTGCTAGAGGAGGTGAGAACAAAAAAATGACAGAAGTTTGCAGGCTTGAGGAGGACTGCTGGGTGCTCTGTCACTTGAGACTTGGCATGCTTTGTGAAAGCCGTGTCTTCCTGCTTCCCGAGACCACCTACCTAAACTTTTTAAAACCAGATGAGTCTTCATTCGATTGTGTAACTGTTGGTGGCTTTTTTATTAATGCTAATGAAAATGGTCAGAACCTGGTATGATTCCTGTTAACATCCTGTTGTCATGTAAAGCTGGTCAGTGAGAATTCTGTGCATTCTTGTTCTTTTTTTTTTTTTAAATATGATTGACTTTTTAAAAAAAATTATTTATTTTTTATTTATTAATACAAGAACTGGGTACAGTCAGAACTGCAGGAGGGTGAGAGAATTCATCAGAGCCAGAGTGGGGAACAGAACAGGCAGACTGAGGAGATACACTGCTGAGGGGAGCAGCGGGCGTGGCAGGAGAGGTCTGTGGCGCCATGTGGGACCCTCGCCGGCGCTGCAGAGGCTGCGGGCAGCTTCGCAGCCCAGCTCTCAACCGCTGTGCCACCAGGGGAGGCCCCTGTGCATTATTTTTCTAAATGTGGTTTTTCTGCTTTTGTTTTTGCCACCAGCCTCGTGATATCCTTTGTGGGGCAGCTGATGAAGTTCTAGCTGTCCTAAAGAATGAAAAGCTTCGGGACAAGGAAAGACGAAAGGAGATTGACCTACTGCTGGGTCAAACAGATGATACCAGATACCATGTGTTAGTGAACTTGGGCAAAAAGATCACAGACTATGGTGGAGACAAGGAAATTCAGAATATGGGTAAATGAATTCTTTATGTTCTTTATGTTTTGTTGACTCCTAAACTTGATCTAGCATCAGTCGTTAAGATGTTTGAAGTCTCAGTTCCTACACCCTGTTTGGTATTTACTGGAGTCATGTTGATGGACTCCAGAAACCCTAGATTCCAGCAGCCATTTCTCACTGAGACCCTTTTATTGTCTAAAATATGTGGGAAAACTTGGACAGAGTTGGGAGTGGGAGCATGTGGCTCAAGTGGTTGAGCAACAAGAGCAAGGCCGTATCCAAGATTATAGGTTGTGCATCGTTAGACTATAGATCAGTCCCGAGGGGAGACAAGTCAGACATTTGGGAATGAAATGAGCTCCAAATGAGTGCCTTATTACACTGATCAGTCATTGTCTTCTTTTTCTGGTCTCTTATCATTACAGATGACAATATTGATGAGACATATGGTGTGAATGTACAGTTTGAGTCTGATGAGGAGGTGAGTGATAAAGCAGGTGAACCTAGTTTATTGATTTTGGGAATTGTTTAGGTGAGGGGACCATTCGAGGGTAAAGAAGGTCCCTAACAAGCCAAATAAATTTTACGGTGTTGTATGTGTTAAATTTGGGGCATAACTATTACTCTACCTAAAAATGTTTATGATTCTTTTTAGGTTTTATAAAATAAGTTTAAATTAATAAACATAAGTTAATATAATTAATTTTTTTTAAAAAGATTTATTTTTATTTATGCATACAAGAGCTGGGGTACAGGCCAGAGATGCAGGGGGTGAGAGGATTCACCAGAGACAGACTGGGGAACAGAACAGACAGAATGACTGAAATACACTGCTGAGGGGAGCAGCGGGCTAGACAGGAGAGTTCTGTTGCGCCATGTGGGTTTCTCTCTGGCTGGCCGGGGTTCGAACTTGTGTTGCAGAGGCTGTGGATTGCTTCATAGTGTGTGATGCTTAACCTCTTGTGCCACCAGGGAGGCCCAAGCTAATATAATTTAAAATATACCCAGTGGGGGTATATTTTACAATATACCTAATTTACAAATTACTTTTTTTTCATAGGTATGTATGTGGGGAAAAACAGCATATGTAGGTTTATTATTACCCACAGTTTCCGGCATCCACTGGGGATCATGGTCTGTATCTTCCATGGTTAGACTTAAAGTCTCAAAATTTCCCACTTCCCAGTACCAGGTGCTAGTGCCAGTTTGAAAAGAATGTACATTTGCCCAAAAGCACAGACATACTTTGTACATGGTTGTTTAATTAACAGTTGAGGCAGACACTGAGGTTAATGTTCCCCATCTAATCAGAAATTCCTGAATAGTACTAAATAGGGTTGACCCTGGTTCCAATAAACTGTTGATTTCAACCCAGAGCCATTGGTCTATCCATGTAACTAATTTTAAGTGACTAAAGAGAGCAGTTTTGTGGTGATACCAGGTCTAGCTGCAGATCATGAGTTGGGGTTTGGGTCATTTCCACAGGAAGGTGATGA